TACACACATACATACATCAGACATACCACATAGACATACACATACACATAATCATTCGTTCATGCATCACCTTCAAACAGGTGTAAGTTCCTTGGCCACGTGCCCCAGTGCAGACCCCACCTGAGGATGAGATGTTTGGGGTCCCAGAGCGCGGTGGAGCCGGCGAGGAGGCTTCGCATCTCGAGGAAGGTGACGAAGAGGAGCTCGAGGAACTCGAGGATGAGAATGGTGTGGAGTTCGAGGAACCCCAGGGTGAGGATGGTGTGGAGCTGGATCCGGAGGGCGACAAGCCTTCGGAGGGGCAGGATCTGGCCGAAGGCCCCGCCGAGCCTGCAGAGGAGGAGCCCGAGAATGTTGTCGATCCCTTGCCCGCGTCGCCTNNGTGAGGATTTCGACCCTGATGCCTACGCCGACAAGGTCTCCCCTGCTGGTGTCGCAGAGATCTGCTCGAGCCCCGAGGTGGCTGAGACCAAGGAGGATGCGACCAAGGAGGATGTGGATGCAAAGGACAGGACGTCCGAGCTGCGAGATCGGCTGCGGGAGCTGAAAAAGAAGATGGTGCTCAAGCGCGAGGACACGCAGCTGGTGCCGTCGGATCTCTTGGATCGAGCTGCGGACAAGCTGAGGGCTATGCCATCGCATGAGGCGACTGATGCATGAAAAGTATAGGATTCTGCGAGGTTTGTGTTTGATAACATGACAGACTCCTCTGGCAGGCACTGTCGATTCGCTCCCAAAGCTCCTGCCCTTCCTTACATCGTGCTGCTCCACTTGCTTCTCAGTCCGGGAAGAGTGGGCCGTCTGAGACTAGTGTGTGCCTGGGCCTCCAAATGAGTTGTTCATCCATGTGCAGATGGGTAGGGGGTTGTGAGATTGCGAAATTCGCTCAGCGATGTGTGTGTGTGTGTGATCACAAACACGATATTCATGGAGGGCCGTAGATTCACTTCAGTGTTCACTTCACTACAATAGGATATACATATATTAATTTGTGTTGGCTGGGTTTCACGGTTTTGTAGCATGCAGGGATTCCCTGGTTTTATAAGAGATGCCTTTCCTTACCCCAAAATAACAACATGGTAGTTTGTGTGGGTTGGAACTTACTGTTTTTAAGAGCTTTTGAAGTCCGAAAGGTTGCAGCCCGCGAATGACCAGAATGCAGTGATTCAGATCGAGGACACTGCTGAACGAGGACCGCTCTTCCGCAGGCCTTCGAGCAGTGACCTCCGGGCAATTCGATGCGACTTGTCAAGGATGTTTGAGGCGGCAGATGAAGGACGCCCGCCTTCGCGTTCATCGAAGATGGTTTTGCAAGATGTTGCAAGACCCCTGGCAGGCTCCAAGATCCAGCCTCCTGTGGCCTCCCAGAAAGATTCAGAGCCTGCTGTGGCCTCCACCCTTGAGCCTCCTCGCAATGATTCCGCACCAGAGCCATCTGCCCCCTCCCAAATGGATTCCCCACCAGAGCCCACAGCCCCCTGCCAGAACGGTTCCTCCAAGACGGATGTGGTTGCAAAGCCTTTTGAAGCTTGCGAGAAAATGGATTCCATGCCTTCGCAGAATGATTCAAAGCCTCGTGTGGCCTCCCCAAAGGCTTCCAGCCCCAAGCCAAAGCTTCGTGTCTCCAAGAAGGCCCCTGTTAAGCCCGTCGTTGACAAGGCCTCCCAGGACGATCCTTCGAAAAAGGCCCCTGTTGACCCCATCGTTGACAAGGCCTCCCATGACGATCCCTCCAAAAAGGCCCCTGTTGAGCCCGTCGTTGACAAGGCCTCCTCAAATCCTTTGGATGATTGTGCTGGGGAAGGGTGTGACATTCCCGATGTGCCCGAGTCCTTTACTCGCGTGCAGCAGCGGGGCTTGCGAAAGGCTCAGGTGGCAGCTCAGCGGAAGCGCAAGCATGGTGAGGAGGATGCGAGCGGGGCGGAGGAGCAAGATGATGAGGAAGCCCAGCCACGTGGACGTGGACGTGGCCGCGGCCGTGGTGCTGGCGGCCGTGGTGCTGGCGGCCGCGGTGGTCGCGGTTCCCGGGATGAGGTTGCCAAGCGCAGCCGGAGCCGGAGCCCGAAGCTGATGAAGCGCCCAGCAGCAAAGGGGCAGGCGATTCCCAAGGCGGCGGCCGTGGTCAAGGAGAAGAAGCCAAAGACTGGCTCCAGTACGGATGCTGCTGGCGAGAGTGATGAAGTGGGTGCTGCCATGCAAGCGAAGTTGAAGCTTGTCTTGCAAGGGCTGCCTCTGCTCAGGGCGAACATTGCTGAGAAGATGGAGAGCCACCCCGACTTCCACTCCCGTGATATCCTCCCCATCCTGCCCGAGCGCCGTGCTGGATTGAAAGCGTGTGTTGGCTGCAGATAGCTACCTAGCCTGTGTATGTTTCTTCTTTGCCCAGAACGATTCCTGAAGCATTTCAGTTGATCGAGCTCTGTTCTGTGACCCAGCTAGGAGCTTTGACAGTTGCGAGAACTTCAAGCTGGAGCCCTATTGGACCCGTTCCCATTGTGGCATTCGCTACGTGCCCTTGCAAAAGCATGTCCTCGTGGTTACGTATGCCGCCATGACCGTCAACATTGCCTACTGCAATCATGTGGCTACCTGGCATGCGAGGAGTACTGGTGTTGTACGATGTGCATAAAGTTATCATAAATTTATATACTCATGTGCATGATAAACAAACTCTGGCATATAGGTGTGTCTTCGGTTGATCTCGACTAGAACATTTCATATGCTTGTTGAGTATTCACAAGCCGGTCTCATGTGTTCTGAGCACAGCTTACAAGTGGCCATGGTTTCGATAGGGTTGGGTGTGCATGGGTGCTTATAACTTGGAAGTCTCACACAGCCCTTCTAGCCCTAAAAGGCCCTATGACTCCTGACCCAACCTCCTTTAAAGCCATATCTCACACAACCCTGCTAGCCCTAAAAGGCCCTATGACTCCTAACCCAACCTCCTTTAAAGCCGTATATCAGCTTATAAAGCCTATCCTAACCCGACATAATGGTAACTGCTCTTCAGCAGATGATAAAACAACCCAGTTATGTAAAAAAACTGGGCTGTTTTGCTACCCTCCTAAACCTCCTAAATCCCATATATCTTGTGAACCCCTAGAAATCCCTAAACCCTTCTGGACGACCCCAAAGAACCCTATTAGTGCCCGACAGAACCCGGTATGGGTTGCAGTTCTAGCCACAGACGCTTTAGTCTTGAGGCCCGTGTGTAAGGAAAGTCTAGGTGTTCGGGGGGTTATAGATAATGGGATCC